ATTTTTAGCCAAAGTTACGATATATCCTTCTGAAGTTATTTTCAAGCCACAACATCGAGAGACCTGAAAAAATTCCGTCAATTATATAATAATATTCGTATAAATATATAATTATATATTTTAATATTTAATATTTTAATATATTTTAATATAAAATATATAACTTAATATCAATAAATTGATATTATAAATCCATTTGAAGAAACATTTATTAAAAGTTTTACCTTGACATATGGACATTCGAATTCAGAAATTAAAGAACCATCTCTTGAAAAAACAGCTACATGAAAACGATTTCCATGCGAATCTCCTATTAATATATCTCCTGCATCGCTAATATCGATCCCATTTGGGAAATTTGTTACATTGTCACAGCCAATGCGACGCAAAAATTTACCTTCCTCATTAAACACTACAACACAATGCCCCTTGAAGTCACAAACAAAATATTCTTTACCTGTAAATAAAAAAGAAAACTTTTTATAAATTTATAATGTATGTATTATAATATATATAAATTTATAAAGTTTAAAAATTATTTACCACTAATTGCAATATCACTTGGTTCTCTCATATATTCACTACAATCAAACCACCTTAATAAATCTCCTGTATCACTGATTACAAACACTGTTGGTGATACACTATCAACAGCCAAAATATGACCCTCGCTTGTCACAGCTAAACCAGCTACAATATCAATGTAACGAATTGCTATTTTTTTAATAAAGTGACCACTTTTTGTAAATATCTGCATTCTCGATCGTTCGTTTCCTCGATCACAAACAACGAACTTCCCACTATTTCTCATCACAGCGACTTTTCTAGGATACCATAATTGTCCTTCTTCTTTACCAGGAACACCGAATTGGAATTTGAAAATACCAGTTTTTTCAAATATCTGAAAACAAATTTTATATTAAAGTGAATAAAGATTTTAAATTAATTAATTTTTTAAATTAAATATCAAATTAAATATTTTAAATGTCAAAATAATTATATACTTGAATTCTGTGATTATTAGTATCAGCAACAATAATGTCTTCGTCAGCACTTAAACAGAATCCATGAGGTGAACTAAATTGACCTTTACTGGGACCTAACTGTCCAAATTTACATCTAATGTGCATAGGAGTTAATTTCGTGTTATTCGAACGTGGATGGGCATAATTTCCAGATCCAGAACCTGTTACATTACCAACTGTGTTTCCTACTACTACAGGCATGTTATGCATAGAATCTCCTCTTAAATCGTCTGTAATTATATTGTTTCAATTGATTTAAAATATATTAATATCTATTTAAAATAATTTAAAAAATCTTACCAGCACCCTGTGAAAGTATTGGGGAAGTAGACGAGGACAATGATTGAAATCCTCCATTTAAAAGACTATTAGCAGCTAAACTTAGGTTTGGTGTATCTACAATAGCTGGCGAAGGGCCTCTACCAAGTACTAATCCACTGCCACCATTAATAGTAGGATTGCCAAGATCTGAAAATAAACAAATTTTACAAAATTATTACATTATTTTATTATATAAGAGAAATAAATAGTAATATTTTTCGTTTTATACCTTGATTACCAAGTGTATTTCCTAATTTTGCAAGAGCTTGCAAATTATTAATTGCATGACTGGTAGAACTCAAATCACCAGCAAATAAATCTGCTAAAGTGAAAGGTGGTGTTGGACTAGGATTTGAACTAGGACCAACTACATTCGTGTCTCCAACCATTTCAACTTTTTCTGCCAAACTAGCTAACTGCTGTAGATTATACTCTTGAATACTAGTAAGTCCATGGATAGGACCTGGAGGAAGGGATACAGGAGGTGGAGGTTGAATGTTTTGAGGACTGGATGTTGGAGGTATAACAAACGAAGGTTCACCTTCAAAGGAGGATTGCATTGATGTGGGAAGAGAAATGGGAGATCTTGTACTAATAGAACGTGGACAGCCCATTGAAGTATGAACAATTTGTTGATTTGCAGAAACACCAGATATGGTTGTAATTGGTTCTGAAGTAGATTTTGACACTGGTGTGCTCTCAGTATGAAATTTACCAAAGACTTCCTATAATTTTGTTTATATAAATTATTTATTAAAATCTCTTCTATATATATTAAAAATATAATATATACCAACCTTCACTGTTTTTTCAAACTGATTGTAATCGGTTTGAAATTGAATCGAAAAAGAAACATTTGGCTTTGGTGTATTTTTTATTAAATTCAATAACTGTGTTCCTACAATACGACGAAGCGCAAGTATCTCAACAGCGTCACCATGCTCAAGAAGTCGGGAAGTAAAACGACAAGCATCTTCTATTTTTTCTACCGTTTTTTCAACACTGCAAAAGTGATCAATAATTTAATAAAATTTTTTTAAATAAATATATATAAATAATATTCATTACAAAGATATTCTTCCAACCTATGAAATGTATCCATTATTTCTAATTCCCTATCTGAATGTAATTTTTCAAGTTCAACTAAAGCATTGTCTCGACATTTTTCTAAGACAGCTTTATAACTCTGAAATGTCTCTACAATTAAATCTTTAGCTTGATCATGTTGTGCTTGTAATTCACTAAGTGCATTTTCTAATTGCGCAGACATTTGGTCACAATCTGCAATTCTAGCTTTACTCTCATTCATAAGTTTTATTAATTCTTCTTTTTGACGTGGTTCTGCATCTACTAATCGTTCATATTGATGGTCTGGAGCTTTATGTTCAATAAGCAAACACTCGTTACATATAGGTTCCTAAATTGAACAAATAATATTTATTTGTTTGTTTATAATATCCAATCATTACTAATCATTATTAATCAAACATTATATTAGTAATAAGATGAAATCTATTTATAATCCATACTTTGTATGGGCTCATAGAAATTTCTAATAAATTATTAAAATATAAAATAAAGAAATTAAAAAATTTTAATTACCTGGCAAGTATAACAATAAAACTTCATATTCTCAGCAGGATGATATTCGCAAAAAATAGGTTTATGTATTGGTATAGCTTCGTTGGATTGTTTTAAATCTTCAAATGCCACTACCTTGTGACTTTCAAAACAACGCATAAATTGATGTGCAGTGTTGCAATTCGGACACAAGAAGTTGGCACAATCAGAGCAACGTGCAACTGCACTCTCTTTGGCTTTACACGAGGTACAAAGTACAGCCATATTTTCAATTGCAGACATGTCGAGTATATTCGTTAGAACATAGTCACATGTCAATGATGCGGCACCCTTAGAACTAATGGAAGTTTCTTGTTGACAGAGAGGACAGATTAGAACTGAGCTAACCTTTGAATCACCTGCCTCATCCATCAGAAGTTTGTCTAAACAAGCTTCACAAAATACATGAAGACAAGAAAGCACTCGTGGGGAACAAAGTTTACTCATGCAAATAGCGCATTCTTGATCACCAGTTTCTCCAGTACCACAATTTATTTCTTCCAAAGCATCACCAGGATTGGAGGTTTCATTACATCCATTAACAGTATTTATATTTCGTTCACTAAACACATTCCCATTCTCCACATCTTCATTTTGTGAAATACCAGTTCCAGCTGGGACTGATGCTGTTCCAGAGGGAACAGCAACCATGGATGATGCCATCTTGTAATTCTTTCTTGTTTACGTGCAAATATGTGTGTTATTACGAATAACTTTTACTTTTTACAGACTTATTGCGAGATAATTGCAAGATCTAACGTTAAACGTTATTTTAACGTTTCACTCTAACAAAAAAGATGATGAACATCTACAAAAAAAAAAAAAAAAGAAAAGCCACAAACTCCTTTTCAGATTGTGAAACACGAGGACCAAGACATCGTAGCATCGATCGTTTAATCACGAAACAAAACACTGTGTCATACTTGATCTCCACCAACTGGGATTTTTATTATTGTATACATAAAATAATGCTTTTTGTGGCGTCCATTGACCAAAAAAAGAAAAAAATAGAATCAATATACAATGTTCACTATGATGGACGAATTTCCGTCATGTAGCATTTCAGTTTTAATATTTTCTTTTTTTTTTTATTTCTTTCTTTTTTTCGTTTCGTGTCTTGAGATAAAAAATTTCTTGAAATCTATTTCGTGATCATACGTAATTAATTTTTTTTCTTTTCGTTTCTTGTTTAGTTTGGCTAATTTTTTTCTATTTACATTTGAAACACTGGCCTCGAAATACTTGTTCACTGGATTCGTATTAAATTTTCGTTTTGAATACGATCGACATTTTATCTTGTACGCTAAATGTACTAATAAACATTTTTATCGATCACACGAATCTCCGAGTCGTTTACGATTATATTTGTATTTCAATTGTTATACGATGTCTCAACCGCAAATATTTCGGACTTTTTCATATGTAGAGCGAAGAAATAAATCATTCGAATCGGGAAGAGTTGACCCCAATGCAGGAGCCCTGCAAACAATTAATATAATGATAGGTGTACTTACAAACGATATAGGCTTAGAAACTCTCAAATTTTGTTGATACCGAGTAAACCGAGAGACATCTTACAATTATGTCATGAATTAAAAATGTTGAAAATTTTGAATAATAATATCAATCTTTTTCTCGAGTTTATAATAAAAAAAAAAAAAATTATATTTTATATTGAATTTTTCTTTATCATTTAATTGAAGAAATATATAAATAATATTTTAAAAATTTTATGCTACGTTTTCATGAGTAATGTATATAAAGATTACTATATTATTTTGTTATAATTTTAAAATATAATTTAAAATATTAAAAATTATTTATTCTTATACAACAAAATGTAATCATCATTTTTCGAATAATCAAATAATTATTTCATATAAATTATATAACATTGAATTCGATATAATATTTCATGTATATTATAGTTGGGATTCTTAACAGTGGTTTTCACTCAACGTTATTTAATATTCTATTAATTTTTATATATGTAAAAAATTATTTAAAAAAATCATAGTATTCAAATATTGAATTAATAAATAATAAACTTTTTTATCTTTAAATTTTATAGTCTTCTTAAAGCAATTTATAGAAATATAAATTATTGTTTATTAGTGTTAGAATTTTTTCTATTCTAGAAAATTTCATATTTTGTAATGCGAATCACTGTAACGAGATTTTACAGTACGATGTTCAAGAGAAACCATATATTACATGGATAATCACACGTCAGAAGATATACGAATGAAAAAATTTTCTTAAAAGTCGATTAATTTTTCTCCAAGTGAAAAAAAATTCATAAGAAATTTAATTAAATTTAATTTTAAAAAAGAGCTTAATTGACTCACCATTTTATTTCATTATTTTATGGGCTATTAGCTACAAGATTTTATTTGATAATTTAATTAATTATATTAGGTGGAACTATTTTCTATTGTCCGCCTCGTTTTTGGCATTGTTGCTGCTTTTTGGAACGCATAGCCACAAACATTCTTGTCATATAATTTAATTATTATTTATTATTTAATTAAGTCATCTACGAGGTATTGTAATTTTTCTTTTCGTATGGTTCACTAAGGAATCGATGCTCGTTGTCTAAATTCGGTAAGAAAGTTAATTTTATTCAGTTTTATTTTATTTTATTTTACAATCAATAATTTTCATTCAACATCAATTTCCGCATTTTTTATTTTTAGGAATATGAGATGGCCAGACTTGTAGCGAATTTAATTATTTATTTATGTCTGTTGTGTAGTAGTATTAATGCTAATGAAAATAATGATAATAATGATCAAAATGTAGCATCAAAAGTAGTATATAAGAGACCTGAAATCTCTGGTTTTGCATATTTAATAGAAACATTCGATGATGAAGAAAAGTTTAAAGAACATTGGATTCTATCTGAAGCTAAGAAGGATTCTATAGATGAGGATATAGCAAAATATGATGGTTAATTTTTTATTTGTGGCTTTAATTGTATATTTATATTTATATTTTGTCAAAATTATAATAAATATTATTTGGATAGGAATTTGGTCTATAGAAGAACCTAAAAAGCATGCCCAAGAGGGAGATCTAGGATTAGTTCTTAAAAGTAAAGCCAGACATGCTGCTATATCTACTAAATTATTTACACCATTTTATTTCAATGATAAACCATTAATTGTACAATATGAAGTGAATTTTCAAGATAGTCAAGAATGTGGAGGAGCTTATTTAAAATTGCTTACTTTACATCCAGAACATCAAGATTTAAAAAAATTCCATGATAAAACTCCTTATACCATAATGTTTGGCCCTGATAAATGTGGAAATGATCACAAGGTAATAAATAAAAGATATTTATTTTTATAAAAACATTCTAAATTGTTTTTTTTTTTAATTTAGCTACATTTTATCTTTCGACACAAAAATCCTTTGAATGGTTCAATAGAAGAGAAGCATTGCAAGAAACCAAGGGAACGTTTGGAAGATTTTTTCAAAGATAAGCAATCTCATCTATATACTTTGATCATTCGGCCAGATAATAGTTTTGAAATCAAGATTGATAATAAAATAGTAAATTCTGGATCTTTGCTGGATGATTTTACTCCACCAGTCAATCCACCTTTGGAAATAGAAGATCCAACTGATGTTCAACCAGAAGACTGGGATGACAAAGAAAAAATTCCTGATCTATCAGCTATTAAACCAGATGATTGGGATGAAGATGCTCCAGCACAAATTGTTGATGAAGACGATATTATGCCTGAAGGATGGCTTGAAGATGAACCACCAATGATATCTAATCCTGATTCTGTAAAACCTGATGATTGGGATATTGAAATGGATGGAGAATGGGAACCTCCAGAAATTCCAAATCCAAAGTGTGCTGATGCACCTGGATGTGGATTATATAAGCAAAAAATGAAAAAAAATCCTCGTTATAAAGGCAAATGGTCACCACCTTTGATTAATAATCCAAATTATAAAGGCAAATGGAAGCCAAAATTAATACATAATCCTAATTATTTTAATGATGAACATCCATTCCAAATGATGCCTATTGTATGTTTTCATATATTTCCATATAATATTTCAAGTAATTTTAAATATAGAAAATATTATGTATTAAATATAAATATATTAAATTTATAGTTTGCTGTAGGCTTTGAACTTTGGTCAATGTCTACAGACATCCTCTTTGACAATATTGTTATTACTCATGATGAAGAAGTAGCAAAATATTGGGCTGATAATACATTTGAAGTTCGTCGCGCCCAAATTGCAGAGGAAAGTGTAAGTGATTTTTTTTTTTAAAGTTAATCAAATTATTTATTAATTTAATTTTACAACTTAAGTTTATCAAGAATTGATAATGAATAAAAAAATTATTATTTTTATGAAATGCGATACATGTACGCTATACTATACAGGTAACTTTATGGGGTCGAATATTGAAAGCAACAAATTATAAACCAGGCTGGTGGGCATTGTATTTTATATATTGTGCAATACCAGTTATATTATATATTTGGTATCTACTAAAGCGAATCCGTGAGGTATATTTTGTGATTTCAGATTTACACATCATTCACTTTTTGTAAGATTGGAATGAAAGTGTAATATGATACCTTTTATAATGCGCTATCCTTCTTATAACATATCCATATAAATTTTTTTCATAGTATTAAAATTAAATATATTATAAATTATGTTAGTTATAAATTACACGAAGTAGCATATAGTATGAAAAATTAAAAAAAAAATATTTAAAAATTGATTAATTTTTAAAAAATCAATTTGTAAATATGATACTTGGATAGAATTTGTTTATGAATCTTACATATAATTTGAAATTTTATAAATATTTTATATAGTGGAGTGTATGGCGCCAGATTGGTACATTTACTGCAGAACATCCTTGGATATGGGGTATATATATAATAGCTCCTGGCTTGCCCATATTGCTAGTAATATATTGTTGCTGCTTTGCTTCTCAGGTATAAAAAAATCATTAGTTTTCAAACTATATATATCCATAGTAACTATATAAAACAATCATATTATGCTAATTAGAAGTTTATTAAAATTTATTCTTTATTTTTTGAAAATATTAAAAAATAATTTTTTTTAATATATTTTCATATTTTTATAAAATATAAAAAATTAATTTTTTTAGGATAAATACGATTTAAAAGATGATGATAAACAATCTTTAGTAACAAATGAACAAGTAGTAAAACAAGAAGAAACAGAAAATCTGCCATCTAGTACTGAAGTACTAGAAGAAGAAATTGAAAAACTGAATGAAAATGAAGAAATTATAGAAAGTGAAGAAAATGTTAGTTAAATTTTCTTTTTTATTATGATAATAATAATTTAAGAAATTTATTTTAATTTTGAATTGCTTTCAGGATAAACCAGAAATAGGTAGTGATGGACCACGGCGAAGAAAACCAAATAAAGAATAGAATGAATTGAAATTAAATGAAATAAAAAAAATTCGTATTACTAAGGTATTTATGTAACACTTACATTCCACTTGAACACTTGCCATTGTGAACATTAGAATTTTTTCAGTATCTAATTACATATAATACAATTCACTAGAATTCAGATTTTTATCTAAAAATTAATTAGATATTTTTTTGATTCTCATGTGTATAATTTTTTATTAAGTCATATTTTTTTAGCAAATAATTATCACATTGAAGCATGTTACTCACGTGTATGAATGATACAAATACTTAAAAAAAAAAAAAGCAAAAATTTGTAAGAATGATGTTTGATGTAATTTATGCCATTATAATGTGTAGCAATGTAATTTTTGTTATTGTACATTAAAAAAATGAAATAATAGAATACATTTATTAATAATTTCTGTATAATAATAAAAGAGCAGATCATGTATTCTTTCTTAACCTTCTTTTGATATCATTCAGTCATAGATAACAACAATAATATACTTAATTTTAAATTTTAATTTTGCTTTTCATATAATAAAAATTATTGATGATATTTATCATAAAATATAAAATACAAAATTATATTAAATACTTTAAAATTAAATAGCCTAATTCTTACTAACTGTCTACTCAGTTGTTAATAACTTCATAATGTCAGTTAAAAGTTAGTTAAGAAAGTACATGAATTGTGCCATGTTTAAGAATTTTTAACATATAATCCATAAGATTTTATTAATATTATCAATTACTATTTTTCATAGAAATTTATAATATTATTCAATGTAACAATTTTTCTTAAAGAATGTTTCATTCCTTTACTATTATGTTAATAAACTGTATAATGTGAATGAAATAATTTGCTGTATTATATGATATTGTATTATATTATAATTATTAAGTTTGGAATTATTTAAAAATAATGAATAAATTGTAAAAATTTTTTTTTCTTTTATTCAATAATTTCAATAAATTTTTTTTATTAAAAAATTATTAAAAATTAACATAGAAAAAGATTAAATTACTATAAA